AAAAACATTTATGTTGCTGGCACTGACACAAAGAAAAAGACCAGTGGAAGAGATTGGAGAGCTTAGAACTTAAGTACATACATGGGAACCTAATATGTGATAAAGGTGGCATCACAAAGCACTGAAAGATTGTTTTTCAGATGGTGATAGAAAAGGGAATTCACCATATGGAGAAAATAGCTGAATTTTTACTTGAAACCATGTTACAGGTGGACTCCAGATGGATTAAATACCAAAATGTGAAAGTTAAATAAAGCTAATATAAGAACATACATATATATTACCTAGGAGTAAATACAGACTTCCTAAACAAGATTCTAAACTACAAGGCCAAAATTTAGGACATCTGCTTAATTAATGACATCACAAAGTTAACATTAGGAAGGTGACAAAACGGGAGACAGTATCTGCAATGTTTAATACAAACACAGAATAATGTCTAGAAAATACACAATTCCTGCAAACCAACAAGACAGGCAATCAAACAGAAAAAAATAGGCAAGGACATAAATAGATACTGGGAGGAAGTATTTGCAGTGTTTAAAATTAACAAAGGATTAATGTCTAGAATATACCAAGGATTACTACAAATCAAAACAGGAAAGCAAACAGAAAAATAGGCAAGGGTTATAGATATCTTAGTTTCACATAGTAAGTAGTCTATACAATTTCATATATAAAAAAAGTACAGAAAAAAAGGCTCTAATTTCATTGTATTCAGAAAAAATGCAAATCAAACAACCAAGAGCTTTAGGGTGGTTGAAATGGATGAAGGGGATCAGAGGTACAAACCTCCAGTTTAAAATAAGTAAGTCACAGGTATATAATGCACCACATGGGGACTATAGTCAATAATATTATTAACTTTGTATAATGACAGAGGGTAACTAGACCTATGGTGATGATCGTTGTGCAGTGTATAGAAATATCAAATCATGATGCTGTACACCTGAAACCAATATAATGTTGTATGTCAGTTATCTATATAATAAAAGGCTAATATGCAAATCAACCAAATGGCGGAATGACCAGTCGCTATGATGCGCACTGACCACCAGGGGGCAGACACTCAATGCAGGAGCTGCCCACTGGTGGTCACTGCGATCCCACAGGGGGAGCGCTGCTCAGCCAGAAGCCAGGCTCACGGTTGGCGAGCACAGCGACGGTGGCAGCAGCCTCTCTCGCCTCCACAGCAGGGGTCCCGGACTGCGAGAGGGCGCAGGCCAGGCTGAGGGGCCTCTCCCCCCAGTGCACGAATGTTGTGCACCGGGCCTCCAGTACTTTAATAAAAAACAAACAAATAAAAACAATAAAAGCAAAAAATAAGATATACCACTTTCCATCCATCAAACTGGCAAAAATGAGGAAGATGGATAACACCAAAGATTGGTGAGGATATTGATATGAGTTCTTGTGCACTGGCAATAATAGTACAACTATTCTTAAAAGTAATCTGGCAATATTTGGCAAAAATTGAACATGCCCATAGATCTATGGCTCAGAGGAATATTCACACAATTATAAAGTTCTTATTTTAGCATTTTTTATGGTAATAGAGGTGAAGACCATCTAGGTTTCTATCTTTAAGTGACTGAATGAGTAAAACATGTTGAACCCACAGTAGTTATGTTCTTGGATTCTGGAGCTAGGCTGCCTGAGTTGAAATTCAGGCTCCACCATTTATTAGTTCTGACTCTGAATAATGGAAGTAGATAATTTTATTAACCAATGTCACCCCAATACATTAAAAAAAAAAGAATGGAAGTGGAAAATTTAAGTAACCTGTGTCTCACTCTCATCTATAAAATGAGAGTAATAATATTATCTACCTCATATGGTGGTTGTGAGAAATATGAGTTAAAACATTTAAAGCACCTACCACAGAGTTACGATTATTTAAATGTTAATATTACTGTTAATATGAAAGTATATGCAAGTTGGAAGTTAGTATATCACAAAAGGAATGTTAATTTTTAAAAGTAAGAAAAAGAACATTTATAGCACAATATCACTTACATGAATTGAACATATTCTCATAACTCTACACATTTTATAAGATGGGCACCACAGATATACATAGAACATATCAAAATGGGTGTCTATAGGATACAAGGAATGAGAATAGAGCTTAAGAATAAAAGGGAAGACTACAAAACAAGAAAGGGGCTTTTCCTGAATCATTATGTTAATACTAGAGGCCTGGTGCATGGATTCGTGCACTGGTGGGGTCCCTCGGCCTGGCCTGTGCCCTCTCGCAATCCAGGACCCCTCGGGGGATGTCGGATAGCCGGTTTCAGCTCGATCCCTGCAGGCCTGATCCAGACAGGAGGGAGCCCAATCCTGTACATTGAGAGTCTGTCCCCTGGTGGTCAGTGCACATCATAGGGACCAGTTGACCGGTTGTTCAGTCACTTGGGCTTTTATATATATAGATACGGTGAAAGGAGGAACAAGATTTATCCACTTACACAATCTATAACTGAGGGGGGGAAACCAACTATCTTTAAAACATTTACAGAAAGCCAAGAAAAGGACCCCAAAGCCAGAGAAATGACCAACCAACCAACTTGGCAGTCACCCCATCTTAGAACTTATCATTAGGTGAGATATTACTACTTCCTACTGTGTAAGGCAGAAATAGGTTTTCTGTTACTTGTAGCCCAAAGCATCTTAACAGAGTATTCATGTAATCTTTTGAGTGGCAAACTGAGGTATAAACAGAATTATGATTTATCCATATGTAGCTCAGCTGGGGTGTTGTCTAAATGGAGATCCCAAAAGAAAATGAAAATGTTGAGTAACCTACTGTTTTTAGCAAGCCAAACTCTCTCCAGTGTATTAAAAACTCTGTAAGTCCTGGCCAGTGTGGCTCAGTTGATTGAGAATTTTCCTGTGCACCGGTTCAATACCTGATCAGGGCAAATACCCAGATTTCAAGTTTGTGTACAGGAGGCAACTGATCAATGTCTCTCTCACACCAAGGCAACCAATAGTTTCTCACATCATTTTTTTTCTCTCTCTCTCAAGTCAATAAAAACATATTTTACAAAAACAACTCTGTAGATATTAAAATGATCAACATTTATCCCACTAAGACGTTGCTCTAAAAGAATCCATTAAAAGTCAAATAAGTGGGAAAAATTACATAAAATCTTTTCTTTTTTTAATATATCTTATTGATTTTTTACAGAGAGGGAGAGGAATAGTTAGAAACATCGACCAGTTGTCTCCTACACACCTCCCACTGGGGATGTGCCCGCAACCAAGGTACATGCCCTTGACCGGAATCGAACCCAGGACCCTTCAGTCCGCAGGCCAATGCTCTATCCACTGAGCCAAACTGGTTAGGGCACATAAAATCTTCTTACAAATTAATAAAGATGAGCAATGAAGAAAAGGGAATTTACATAAGAAAAAAATGCCCAGTAAAGATAAAAATTTAAACCTCACTGATGAATACTTTGAAAATTAAGATTTCATAGCCACACCCAGTTTTGCCAGCAATGTGGGAAACCTCATTTACAGCTGGTAGGAGTGGAAACCGGGACATTTCTGGAAGGCATTTGGCAATGCATGGCAGAAGTCTTAAAACAGTGCATGTAGCCCAACCGGCATGACTCAGTGGTTGAGCATCAACTTATGAACCAGGAAGTCACAGTTCGATTCCCGGTCAGGGCACATGCAGGTTGCAGGCTCAGTCCCCGGTGTGAAGCATGCAGGAGGCAGCTGATTGATGATTCTCTCATCACTGATGTTTCTATCTCTCTCTTCCTCTCCCTTCCTATCTGTAATCAATAAAAATATATTTTAAAAAAATAGTGCATGTAGTGCATATTCTTTGACTCAGCAGTTCCCTAGAATTTAAAGAATAATCATAGATGTCAACAAAGATTTAATTAAAAGCACTAGCATTGCAGGACTGTTTAGAAAAGCAAAGCATTGGGATCAAAGTAAAAATCCCAAAGTAGGGGAATCAATGTAGTTATAGAAAATCTATGTGATGGGATATAATTAGCAATTAGAATTCTCAATATTTAAATATCCACTCTGCTGATTAGTATCTGTATAGCTCAGGGAAAGCTAGTTAACCTCTCTGCATTTCAGTTTCCCTGTTTATAAAACAGGTCTAATGTGAAGATTAATTAACATACATAAAAGCACTTAGGATAGTGCTGACATATGTAAGAACTCAATAAATGAGTTTTGTGTTTGTTTTTATAGAAGGACACCACACCATAGCCTAATATCCTAGAAAGATGTTAATAATAAACAAAAAAGGTTACAAACCAGTATGTACAGAGTATTTTTATAAAATAAGTGTATCTCATATACATAGATTTACAAAAATAAAAACTAGGAAGATATAGTATACAGAAATAGAAATAGTACATCTCTTTCAATAATAAGATTACAGGTTATTTTTCTTATTTTTGTATTTAAAAATTTTTCAACAACAAACACATGCTTTTATGAGAGGTAAAAACAATCATCTGTACCAAAATTAAAACAACTGTCAGTTTTTTTTAACTCCAAATAATAATCTGTCCCAAACTAGCAGAGTAATTGGGTAGAGTCAGAAACACAGACATTTCCCTTCATAGCCTTTATTACCACATAATCCGAGCTCAGTCTTATTTTACAAACCTTATACACAAATGGCAAAAACAATTAAGAGATCTTTCTTTCTTTCTTTTTTTTAATATATTTTATTGATTTTTTTTTTACAGAGAGGAAGGGAAAGGGACAGAGAGTTAGAAACATCGATGAGAGAGAAACACCGATCAGCTGCCTCCTGCTCACCCCCTACTGGCCATGAGCTCGCAACCAAGGTACATGCCCTTGACTGGAATCGAACCCGGGACCCTTGAGTCCGCAGGCTGCCGCTCTATCCACTGAGCCAAACTGGTTAGGGCGAGATCTTTCTTTCTAGAAGTTAATTTATTCTCATTTCCTCTCTTTATGCAGAAGGATTAAATAGATTCTCCATGTTTTCCTGAGCCTTTAATTTAGAAAAGCTGTCACAAAAGTGAACTTGCCACATGAGGAAAACAGAAAAGAACCAATTAAGTTTTTACTGTCCTCCTTCCTGAGGGAAGAATGCCTGGCTGGCTGTAGTGAAATGGGACAATTATAATGTCTTTTTTGTAACATAAGCCCTAATGGTGGACAGATTGTCTTAGTCACATGAGCCGTTTGGGGTCTATTTTCTCTAGGTGAACTAGAGGTTTTAGCTGCTCTGCAAAGTTCCTCATGTCATCAGAGACCATGTCCTGCCCAGCTGGTGCAACAACACTTAGTTCCACAAGATAGGAGAGTGACAAGGCCTCAGTGCTGTCTGTGCTTCCAGGCACCAGGATACGGAAGATCTTGTACACCATAATCTTCATGATGCCCTTACGGAACAAGTGTCCCTTGGCTACAAACTCATGGTCCATGCGGAAGCCCATTTCCATCAGGAAGTCAGTGAGGTTCTCAGATGTTGCAATGTCCACGCAGTTCCTCACCAGGGCATGGCGGTTCTTGTCTCCCACTTCAGGCTGTCCCAGGTAGCGTAGATGCCAGGGTGCGCCTGCCCTATCCATAGAGCGCCGGGCCCTTAGAACAAATGGGCTGGCCTGCTGGCCTTTAAGGAGGAATACCATCTCATGGTCCAGGAAAGTCTCAGGTTCCATGTTGTCACACAAACCACGAAGGCGATGGATAAGGCTTTCCAAGCTGTGATCTAAAACGCTTCCTTAGGAAGGAAAAAGCACAATTGAGTCCCATCTTTCATTTTGGGGAATGGAATTAGTAAAAGATTAAAAAAATGTAAATGAAAAAAATAAATAAAAAACGTAAATGAAACAAACAGTTTAGTGCAGTGTTTTATAAAGCATAGGCCTAATAGATGAGATTTCATAGGGATTATGCTGCCAAGGTATTGCATAACATGAAAAAGTTAATCCCTTATCAATGTTTTGCCTTGTCTTGTTTGGTACTAGAAAGTCTTTAGGCCTTCTCTAACAATGCTAATCTCCAGCAGGCTTGGGGCACAAAATCTCTGTCTCTTGATCTAGAAGACGGGAGCTGATAACAGTATCATAGAATTACCATATAATCTAGTAAACTCACTTCTAGGTATATATCCAAAAGAATTCATAGCAGGATCTTGACGAAGTATTTGCATGCCCATGTTGACTACAGCATTATTCACAATAACCAAGAAGTGGAAACATCCCAAATGTACATCAACAGATGAATGGATAAAGAAATGTGGTATGTACATAAAATTATTCAGCCTTAAATAAGGACATCTTTCTTTTAAAAAATATATTTTATTGATTTTTTACAGAGAGGAAGGGAGAGGGATAGAGAGTCAGAAACATCGATGAGAGAGAAACACCAATCAGCTGCCTCCTGCACACTCCCCACTGGGGATGTGCCCGTAACCAAGGTACATGCCCCTGACCGGAATGGAACCCGGGACCCTTGAGTCCACAGGCCGACACTCTATCCACTGAGCCAAACTGGTTAGGGCAAATAAGGACATCTTGTCATATATTACAATATGGATGAACCTCTAGTACATTATATTAAGTGAAATAAGCCAGTTGTAAAAAGACAAAAACTGTATGATTCCACTCATATAAGGTATCTATCTAAAGCAGCCGTGGGCAAACTACGGCCCGAGGGCCGGATCCGGCCCGTTTGAAATGAATAAAACTAAAAAAAAAAAAAAAAGACCGTACCCTTTTATGTAATGATGTTTACTTTGAATTTATATTAGTTCACACAAACACTCCATCCATGCTTTTGTTCCGGCCTTCCGGTCCAGTTTAAGAACCCATTGTGGCCCTCGAGTCAAAAAGTTTGCCCACCCCTGATCTAAAGTGTCAAAATCAGAAACAGAAAGTAGAAAGGTTGCCAAGGGCTGGGGTAAGGAGGAAGGGAAATTAGTATTTAATGGGTATAGAGTTTCAGTTCTGCAAGATGAAAAAGTACAACAATGTGAATATACTTAACACTACTTAAAAATGTTTATGATGGGAAATTTAATTTTGTGTTTGTGACCATAAAAAAATTTTTTTAAGTCTAATTGGCATGCAGAAATTATGCAGGCTGCCTTTGTAAAACAGCGTGTCATCTCCACAGAAGCTGAATAGAAGAGGGGAGACTGGTTATCCAAGCTCCCTGGTTCACTCACCCTGCAGCAGGTACTCCATCATGTTAATGGTGCCCCCGGTAACAGGCATCATCGTGACGGGGGGTGCCTCCATGGTGCCTGGTTAAGTTGAAGAACTCGGACTGGATTCGGCGTCCCCAATCAAGTAACGCACAGGATAGACCTGGAGAAGAGTTACACTTATTAATACATCAGAGATGTGGAGACACCAGATGTGCTTATGTCATTGACCTTGACATAAAAAAAAAAAAGGTTCATCATCCATTCGGAGCTTTCTGAGTAACTGCCATAGGCCGGTTGCAGGAACCGATGATACAGAAATATACAAAGGAGACCTGTTCCTGGAGTCACAGCATCATCTTCTAGTCTCAAGGTCTGAAACCTCGAAGTTTTCCGTGTGATCTTGAGGAAGTCATCAAACCTCTCACTCAACGTCTTCCTTATAAATGGGGCCAAAGACATTGAAGACGCCCAAAGCTCTGTTGCTCAGACAGCACAATGAACATGCAGTAACATTCAGAAGAACTGAATGGTGGCGGAAGGGACTTGTTCAACTTACCGGTGAGGATACTGAGATTCGGAGAGGGAACAAGGGCACACAGCAAGTCGCGGCAGAGGCCGGACCAGAGGACGATCCAGGCCTCCCGCCACTGAAAACCCTTTAAAGCAGCCGGCGGAAGCGTGTAGGTGCTCCTCCGCCGCGTCCACGTGCACCTCCGCGTGCGCTGCAGCCCCTCTCCCAAGCGAGGAGCTACGTCCACCCGAGCATCGCGGAGCTTCTGAGAAACACTTGGCCCCCAGCCCTAAAGTTACAGCGCCCTGTACAGGGCAACACTTCCTCCTCCTTTTCCCGCTTCCGCCACACAGCCGCCCGCGCCGTACGGGTACCGAGAGGGCTTAAAAGTCGCTCCTCCGCCCGGCGAGCAGAAGCGCATGCGCGAGGTGCGCTGCCGTCGGAAAGATGGCGGCCTCCTCTGGAGCGTGACGGCGGTGGGGCGGGAGGGGGCGGGCTGACGTCATAGGCGCGCCTCCCGGAAAATATTTGTTTTTTTTCCCCGAGTTCCACGACACGGGGATGTTTTTGTCTAGAAAATCTCTTGGAACTGACGGGAAAAAGAGAGCCTGGGGCAGGGTACTGCAGACAAAGAAGGAGAGACGTAAAACACTTCCTGTTGGGGACCTGAAGGTGAAAATTAAAAGATCCCGTTACTGCTTAGCATCATGTTACGAACAATTAGGGAGCTCGGCAATATACGTAATATTTGTTTGCTGGGTATACTTTACTTCAATTTAAAGATGCAGGGAGGTAAGTAAATTCAAGGAATATTTATTGAACGAAGTTTATCTGTAAAGTGGGCACTAGAGTTGGGTGAATGAGGCACTCTCCTACATAGAAAACTGTAGCAGCGGTTCTCAACCTATGGGTCGCGACCCCTTTGGCGGTCGAACGACCCTTTCACAGGGGTCGCCTAAGACCATCCTGCATATCAGATATTTACATTACGATTCATAACAGTAGCAACATTACAGTTATGAAGTGGCAACGAAAATAATTTTATGGTTGGGTCGCAACATGAGGAACTGTATTTAAAGGACCAGAAGGTTGAGAACCACTGCGTGTTAGGGGACACCAGGAATCTCAGTAACTAAGAGAAATAATACTTCAATGCAATATTTTGCTAATTTAACACAAAAGAATCCTTAACAAACAAAATATCAAAAATTTAAAATTGATCTTCACAGCAGCCTGATGAGCCAAGTGCAGTTATTACTGTAATTTTACAGATGGGGAAACTTAGGCAAGAGAACTTAATAACATGCAAGGAGTGGAGAGCCAGGGATACAGATATAAGCTGCTGACTTCAGAGCCCACCTCTTAACTATTCCACAATCTGCCATTTCTAGCCCTGACCAGTGTGGCTCAGTTGATTGGGTAGATCCCCAGTAGGGGGCGTGCAGGAGGCAGCCATCATGTTTCCCTCTCACATCCATGTTTCCCTTTTTCTCTCTCTAAAAATCAATTTAAAAAATCTTTAAAAACAGTAACAACAACAAAACCCTGCCACTTCTAGTTCTAGTCCCCCCACTGTAACCAGTATTACTTTTCATTCATTTGTGTGTTTTTAAAATTATTTTTATTGATTTCAGAGAGGAAGGGAGAGGAAGAGAGAGAGAGATAGAAACATCAATGATGAGAGAGAATCATGGATCGGCTGCCTCCTGCATGCCCCACACTGGGGATTGAGCCCACAACCAGGGCATGTGCCCTTGACTGGGAATCAAACCGTGACCTCCTGGTTCATAGGTTGAAGCTCAACCACTGAGCCACGGTGGCTGGGCTCATGTGTTTTTTTTAATTGAATATTTATTGAAAGTCTAGTGTGCTTTAGCTATTGACTTCGTCTCTGCCCTCAAAAGAGTTTATTAAACAAAGACAGTACCATGTGGTTGATTCAATGGGACATAAACAGTTCAGCTGTTTCGGAAGCAATCAGGACTCTTGATTCATCTTGGGGGCATAGAGAAGGATTCCCAGTAAAAGTAATTAATGCCCAAAGTAACTTCAAGGAACAATAGTGTCAGCCAGATAAAGGAGGAAAGGGACTTCCAGGTAATGGGAACAACATTTACAAAGGTAATTGAATTAAATAGAATTGGGACATAGAATTTGAGGTTGGGAGGGGTTGAATTAAATAGAATTGGGACATAGAATTTGAGGTTGGGAGGGGTAAGAAATGTCTGGAGAAGGGGTCAGGCCCAGATCCTGGAGGACTTTACATGTCAGACTAACGCAGAGATGTGAACTTTAAAAGGATCACTCTGGTGCTCCCTTGTAATATCCAGTTGGTTGAGCATTGTCCTGTGCATGGAAAGGTTGCCTGTTTGATTCCCCATCAGGGCACATACCTGGATTGTGGATTCCATCCCCCAAGTGGCACTGTCCAGCCAGAATTCAGGGGAGAGAGAGCTGGGCTAGAGGTAGAGATTTCATAGAGCTTCATAAATGGTAGCTAAAGGCATGAGAATAAATGAGATCATCCTGAAAAAAGTGTAGAATAGGAAGAAAAAATGGCTAAGAGCTGGACTTTGCAAAAGACTCTGACAGTTACTAGAGCCGCATATACCCCAGGGCTCAGGATATGCCCTCTGGTCAGCTTGGTGATTCACAATATTGGGCAGACTGACAAGCTCTCAGTGCAGTAATTAGTGATTAGAGGAGGCTGTAAAATTGCTGGGCTCTCTTTTCCTATTCAGACACAAACTTCAGAGTGGAAAGCTCAGTGAATTATGAGTCCTTAGAGGCATCATAGTATTATTCAAATTTTAGCTGGCATTGTGAAGTAGGGTTAAAATTTTTAAAAAGGTAAGAAATGGGTGAACAATATAGTAAAATTTGGACAAGGCCTAGGAGTTATAGGAATAAGTTTCTCTGATAAGGATGTGAGGTCTGGAGCTTAGAATGGGGCTCACTTCTGTTCTCTACCACTACCCAGCTATGCAGCCTTGGGCAATTCACTTCCCCTCTATGAGTCTCAGCTTCCTTTTTTGTAAAATAGAGATTTAACAAACTTTCTAAGGCGGAGGTTGCAAAAATGAGATGTTTATGAAACTCTTAGCATAGTGCCTGGCTTATTGTAAGCAAAAAATAAATGGTAGCTATCCTATATAATAAAAGGCTAACATGCAAATTGACCAAACAGCAGAACCACCGGTCACTATGACGCGCACTTACCACCTGGGGGCAGACGCTCAACACAGGAGCTGCCCCCTGGTGGTCAGTGCACTCCCATAGGGGGAACACCACTCAACCAGAAGCCGAGCTCACGGCTGGCTAGCACAGCGGTGGTGGCGGGAGCCTCTCCCACCTCCGCAGCAGTGCTAAGGATGTCCAACTGCGACTTAGGCCCACTCCCCGCAGGAAGCGGGCCTAAGCCATCAGTTGGACATTCCCTGAGGGCTCCTGGACTGTGAGAGGGTGCAGGCTGGTCTGAGGGACAAATTTCGTGCACCGGGCCTCTAGTTATTATAATACTTTATATCTCTAATTTGAGCAAGTACATTCTGTCTTACTGAATATATTATGTGCATGTCTCGTCTCCTTGGATAGATTGTAAACATCTTGGAATGGAGGAATCATGTATGTTCTTTATATATGTGTGTCTTAGCACAGGCTAGTATAACAAAATACCACAAATTAGGTGGCTTTTAAATAATGGAAATTTATTTTCCTTGTTATTACAATTAATGGCAGCAAAGGAGGAGAAAAGTTCAGACATTAATGCGTCCCAGCCAATCACTAGACTGGCTTAAAGGTGTAGGATCAGCCAAAACCAGTTTGGCTCTGTGGATAGAGCGTCGGCCTGCGGACTGAAGGGTCCCAGGTTCGATTCTGGTCAAGGGCATGTACCTGGGTTGCGGGCACATCCCCAGTAGGAGATGTGCAGGAGGCAGCTGATCGGTGTTTCTCTCTCATCGATATTTCTAACTCTCTATCTCTCTCCTTTCCTCTCTGTAAAAAATCAATAAAATATATTTTAAAAAAATTTTTAAAAAAAGGTGTAGGACCAGTTCTTGGCCAGCCTTCATCAGGACAGCAGACCATCAGCGTGGATTGCAAGGCACACATACATAGTTCCTTCATCAGCCTTCTAGAATGACCTTATGGATAATAAGATCTACCCCTATTATTGGTATGCAATGCTAGGCTCTCACCTTTAGTGTTGCAAACTAATATTTCCCAAGGAATGAGCTGACATTGAGTGCTTCCTATATGCATAGCCCTATGTGAAAGGTATAACTGCTTTTCAACCTAATTATCTCCAGCAATCCTCCACTCAGAATTCTCATTATGCCTACATGATCTGCCCCATCACCTGTTTCCTCTTTGACCATATTCCAACCATCCCCATCTGTGCCTGCTCACTCCCCATCCACTCAGCTCTAGCCACTCTGTTCTCATGGCTCCTATTTGAACAAGTCAAGGATGCTCCCATTTTAAGTGTTTTGTACTTATTGTACAGTCTGCCTGGAACTCTCCTTTTTCACTGAACTGCAGCATTCACTCCCATGCTTCCTTCTGGTCTTTGCTCAAATCTTTCTTAGAGAGGCCTTCCCTGGCCACCTCTTTCAAATTGTAGCCCACTACCTGTCCTGCCCCCGACCCCCATACTCTGCTGTATTTTGACTCGGTGGCACAATGCCTGGATGAGAAGTAAACTTCCTTCCACTGGAAATACTAAAGCAGAGATTATGGTAGAAGAATTCTTCCCTAGACTGGGAAACTGAACTATTACATTGTCTTAGTTCTTACTAGTACATACTCTCCATTCTAAGTCACAGCATTTACTTAATAACAGAGTTTCAGGCAATTGAGAAACATCTCCATATACATGTACATATGTATTATCAGACAAGGCCTAATAAACATGGAAACAAAGTACATGTTAGAGTTGAAAAAAATATGGTAGTTGAACATTATGATTTCATAATTCATAGAGATACCTAGTTTAGTAATTCTTCACCTTTGGATTTTTTCCAATTATGAAAATGACAGCATCATTATTAATAGTAACTACTAAGAGCAAACACCCAATGACAAATAAATGATACAATTCTTGCTCTCAAGGAGTTTGGTTTCTGAGAGACAGGTAAGACATGCCAGATAATTTTGTGCCTAGTAGTCTTCATCGGCTGCTGACTCAAGAGTTACCTCCCTACCCAGTATGACAGGCAGCATCAGCCATTTCACCCTTTTATTCATCTTAAGGCAAGGACCTATGAAAGTCTGGCAGAAAGGTAATTGACCTATTTACTTGCTCTTTTCCACTTAGCCCAGCCAGCCCAACCCAGCCTCTGGTTGACCAGGTGTTGAGGTGCCTCAAGGGG